ATCACTTACCGGGACTACCTGCCCCTGGTGCTGGGGCCAGAGGCCACGAGGAAGTACCTGCCCAAGTACAAATCCTACAATGACTCGGTGGACCCTCGTATCGCCAATGTCTTCACCAATGCCTTCCGCTATGGCCACACACTCATCCAACCCTTCACGTTCCGCCTGGACAATCGGTACCAGCCCATGCAGCCCAACCCCCGGGTTCCGCTCAGCAGGGCCTTTTTTGCCACCTGGCGGGTGGTGCTGGAAGGTGAGCAGGACCTAGGCCGGGAGAGAGTGGGCTGGCAGCTGAGGGTGGGGTGGGATGGGCTTGGCCGCAGGGAGCTAGAGTGGGAGAAATCCTCTTTCCTTTCATCCTTGGGGATCTGATCTGGCTTTCCAGCCTCAGTTCACCTGACTCTTCTTCCACGTCTAATAATAAAAGATGGGGTGGAGATGGCTCGTAGGAAACTGGCTCTTTCCCGTGTGTTGTGACTCTCAGTGACCCAGGAGGCCAGGGTCTGGGTGCACCCCAACCTTGCATGTATGAATGGCATGATCCCCTGAGACCTCGATGTGCTGGTGAGGACCTGCTCATAGGGCCACCTTGGTACCAGGAGCTGCATGTGCCCAGCCTTCTTCTGCAATCCCCCCAACTCCACCTTGGACTTGTCCCTGACTCCAATCTGAGCTCTGATACTGAGCCAGATACTTCCCTCAGTCTTGCTCCTCTTGCCCCCAGGTGGCATTGATCCCCTCCTCCGAGGCCTCATGGCCACCCCTGCCAAGCTAAATCGCCAGAACCAAATCGCGGTGGACGAGATCCGGGATCGGTTGTTTGAGCAGGTCATGAGGATCGGGCTGGACCTGCCTGCACTGAACATGCAGCGCAGCCGGGACCACGGCCTCCCAGGTGAGGGCCTGTAGGAGTGCCCCGCCCCCACCCCCACCTCCCACTCTAGGGCCCTGCCCTCTCCAGTGCCCCCTGCTGCCAAGGCTTCCCCCTACCCCAGCACCTTGCTCTTGGGAAGTGGTCTGAGGTCAGGCCCCTACCTCTCCCTGGGCCCGCCTGGTCTATTTCCAGCTCCTCCTGACCTCCTTTGCATTGCTGTAACCCTCAGACTTGGAGCATCATCATAATAACAACAAGCCCCCTACCCCCCACAGTCTGAGAATCTGTCTCCCTCATCATTTCATTTTGCTTCATTTTACATGAACTCTGAAGGGAAGAGAGTATTATCACTTCCATTTTACTGATGAGGAAACTGAGGCTTGGAGAGACTCAGAACCTGCCCAGGTTCTCCAGCCGAGTCAGTGACAGAGCTAGAATTTGAACCCAGATCAGCCTAACCCCCAAACTTGTGCCTGCATTATGGGACAGCTGGTGTGGCTGAGCCTTCTAGACACACTTCACCCCTCACAGATCTGATATCTTCAGAGAGGGACAATGAGATGTCCCTATTCTTGGACCTGGCAGGAGTTTATGGCAATTTGGGATTTGCCTTAGGGTAGGAGGGCAAGGGAGAGAGAGAGGGTCCTGGAGAGGCCCAACTATCCCTTTGGCCTGAGCCAAGGGTCCTGTGTCCTCCCCTCCCTTCTGTACCTCTGTATATGGCCGTGGTGTGTTGGGAAAGTGGGTTTTCTGGGACCACACACAGCCATTCCTCCCCTCCCTCCACGCAGGGTACAATGCCTGGAGGGGCTTCTGTGGGCTCCCGCAGCCCCGCACGGTGGGCGAGCTGGGCACAGTGCTGAGAAACCTGGACCTGGCGAGGAAGCTGATGGAGCAGTACGGCACGCCCGACAACATCGACATCTGGATGGGCGGCGTGGCCGAGCCCCTGGAGCGCAATGGCCGCGTGGGCCAGCTCCTCGCCTGCCTCATCGGGACCCAGTTCAGGAAGCTCCGTGATGGCGATCGGTGAGGAGGCAGGCGGAGTGGCCCAGGCCTGCTGTGTGGCTGTGGAACCTCGGGTTCCGTGACTTTCCAGTGTGTTCCAGGGAGCCTTAAGGTCATCCTTAATGGCTTCTGAACCTGTTGGGGACCCCTGGTTGTGAAGCAGGAAGACAGAGAAAATGGTGCTGTCATTCACTGTTGAACAGTTCCATCCTTGCTTTCCCACGGCTTCTCCTAGTGTCATTTCATCATGGTCTTGACATCTATCATACCCCGTTCTCACCTAGCTTATATTGTGCCTTTGGGAAAATCAGAAAAAGAAGGTGTCCCTCTCTGGGTAGACGAATTATAAACCATCCCCAAGATTCTCTCCACCCCTATGGATGCAGCCCCAGGCCAGGGCACAGGACTTTGTGAGCGAGTGTGGGCCCAGCTTCCTGTCCGGCATTAATGGTGTCCCAGAGGCCACTGGGGTGGGGGCAACTGGGCAGCCATGCTTTACTCTGCACTGTGAGTGGGGGTCCAGATGTTTGAAAACCCCTGGGCTGCCCGAGGCCTGGAGTTCTCCTGTGCTGTAGAGTGGGCGTCTGCTGTGGTCCCCTTGCATCTAGGGAGCAGCTCAAGCCAGTTGATGCCGTCCCAGCCCAGAACAGCCTCAAGGACAATGTCGTGGGTGTTCCCATGCAGGTTTTGGTGGGAGAACAAGGGTGTGTTCAGCACGCGGCAGAAGCAGGCCTTGGCCAAGATCTCCTTGCCCCGCATCATCTGCGACAACACGGGCATCACCACCGTGTCCAAGAACAATATCTTCATGTCCAACACATTCCCTCGGGACTTTGTCAGCTGCAGTACACTCCCCATGTTGGACCTGGCTTCCTGGAGGGAAAAGGACTAGAGGCTGGGTAAGGGGGTGCAGTGGTGAGGTGAAGGCTGGGCACCCCGGGGCTGGCCACTTGGAACCACAGAGATCTCCCTTCCCTAGGTGAGCCCATCCCCGTTCTGGTGCCGGCTGAGAAAATGAATGACTAGACATTCATTCGTGTGTGGGTGCAATGTTTATAAATTGCATTTCGTATGTGTATGTTGTCTGTGCACAGGGGTAGTGTTTTGTGTGCTGTGTATGTGTGTCATTTATGTGACGGTGTGTGGCTGTTTATGTGAGTATTAAGTACATGGAAGGCAGCAAAGCGGATTGCTGAGGAACACAAGCTCAGGAGGGTTCAAATCCTGGCTCTGCAGCTTCCCAGCTGGGTGACCTTGAACAAACTACTCAACCTCGCTGAGCCTGCGTTTCTTCTTTGTAAATAACATCTGTCTTGGCTCCTTAGAAGGCCCTTTTGCATACTCTAGTTCTTTGTTTATTGAGCACTTACTCTCTGCCAGGCACAGTGCTAGGCATGGGAAACATACAGAGAATGTCAGGCACCGTTTCTGCCACGTGGAGCTTGTACCTTGACAGTGTCCTGGTTAGCAGAGGTGAACCAGCGACCCCTGGACGACCAGCCATTAGCAATTGGGCTGTGCGTGGTGGTTGACTTATGGGCCCAGCGGAGCCAGGCTCAGTCTGTGGCTCCCCTTTCTCTTTCTTACTTTGTTCTCTTGCTTGTTCACAGGAGCCTGACTGGAGAGGAACTGGGACCGTGGGCCGTTTTGTACTATTTGTTTGTACCAGATATTCACGATAATAAAGCACCACTGCTGGGGATCTTTACTCTGTCTGTGTCTGCAGTGGGGCTGGAGCCTCGGCGTGAGGCTTGCTCTGGGCTCTGAACTTGAACCAGTGTGGTCTGTGCCTCAGGGTCCTGTGTTTTCTGAACTGGGGGTGAAGGCAGCGGGGAGTCTTCCTTTGGCTGATCGATACATGGAAGGCAGTCAGTTCTTAGAAACCTAGGGACCAGGCCAAACCAAGCAGACTCTCCTCCCTCACCTTCCACACACACCACCCCGGAGAACAGGAGCTGTGGGCACCAAGCCCTTATGCTTATTCCTTGCTCTGGCAAGTATTTGCTACATGCTCACTCTGTGTCAGGCCTGTGCCAGGTGCTGGAAAACAGGGTCAGAACGCTGTTCTGCAGGAGAGAAAGAGCAGAGGTGTGATGGGAAGGTAGGCCCTCACCGATTGACAGGTCCTCTGGATCCTGCATCCCTGCAGCCTGGCACCGTGGTTCAGAGGCCTTTGAGGCAGTAGACTCCTTCTCACTCCTGGCTTCATGTGGCCAGGTCCCCAGAGCAGGGACAGCAGATGGCTGGGCTGAGGGAGGGAGGGAGGGTATTTCCCTAATTTTGGCTGGAGCTTGATCCCGATATTTGACTGGTGGGTTCCCTCCCCCTTCCTCCCTTCTTCCCATATGTGGGGAGGGGCACCCACAGCTGGGAGCTTGAAGGTGTGCAGGATGCTGGGGCTAATGTACCATAGGAGCCCCAGGCAACAGTAGGACCTCACCATAGCAGGGTAAATACTACTCACCTCTATTTCATTGATGATGAGAGGCGTGCCAGAGAAGTGAAGGGACTCATCCAGGCTTTGAATAAGTGGGTGCCAGAGCCAGGGCTGCAGCCCAGGTCTGACTCCTGGGCTCTTCCCACAGGAAGGCTAAGTGCCTCCCACTCTCACCCCACCAGTCAGGGGACCTGGAGGCCCCGGCTGCGCTGACCTTACCCAGAGGGTTGTTTTAAAAGAAGAACACATGAATATGTATTGGGCAGCCACACAAGGAATATTCTGGAGCTGCCCCTTCAGAGGCCTCACAGGCTTCAAGGATTACCCTAGAAGAAGAGGGTGTTTCCCAGAGTGGTTTCTGGAAGGGACATGAACTTGAGCTGTAGGGGAATCCAGGCTTGGACTTGCTCCCTGTTTGATCCCTTGGCACCACCCCAAGCCCTCTCTCCTGCCACTCCACAGCCACTGCTTGTTTCCCCAGGAGCCCCTTGCCTCCTCCTTTTCTTTGAGAGCTCTTTGAAATCCCACCGAACCATGCCTTCTCACCCCACAGACTCATGCACATGACATCTTAGTGGTTAGACACATCTGGACTGTAAGCACATTGTTACTTATTTGGCAGTGATTCCAAGGCCTGCCTTCCAGAAGGGAACAGTGTCACTGGCAGCATCTTTTGTCAATCATCAGATGTTTATTGAGCGCTTACTGTGTGCCGAGCACCACGCTGACACTGGGAGACACTCAGAAGCAGGCTGAAGTCCTGGCTCAGGAGCTTACAATCTAGTTTGAGAGGGCAGGAGGAAGGATAGGGGTGCAAAGGCTTCAGCCAAGACTTGTTCCAGGGAGAAGATCGGTGACATCTGGCAAGCTAGACTGGAAGGGCATCTCAGAGGGTCTATGCATGGCAGAAAGGAGAATTTCCCCAGGCAGAGAGGATGGGGTGGGAGCAGTGGGATTCAGTGGCAGAGCTGGAAAGGCTGAGGCGGCTGGCCTTGGGCTTGAGCGAGGTCTGCATCTGGCGAGTGTAGAGAGACCCAGAGGAAAAGAAGTGCTGGGGCTGGGGTGTGGCAGTCTCAGGGAGAGCTCACTGAACTTGCTTGAAATGGCATCGTGGACAAAAGGGAGCTTTACTGCACAGTCTGAGAGGCCGTGGAGTCCAGGCCCCTAATTCTCCACTGAGGCCCAGGGTGAGAGATCCAGCTTCTCAATGGCTGAGCAGTCCACAAAGCCGTGGGGGTAGCTGTTGGCCCGGAATGGGTCCAGTGGGACCTTGGTGATGTGGGTGTTGTCACAGACAAGGCGTGAGAAGGACACTTTCTGTAGAGAGTCCCGCTGCTTCTCAGTGAAGACGCCAGGGTTCTCCCACCAGAACCTGCAGAGACAGAGGCAGAGTCTCTCTATACAGCCTGGCTGTTGGCCCCTCCCCACTGAGCCAAAGGGGAAGGACGTCATTGGGAACATGCTGAGGTCTGAGGTAGTCCTCACGAAGGACACTGGGACACCCACCTCAGAGAAGGGTCTGCCCTCCCCCACCCTCCCCACTGATGTCTCACTTGCCTGTCTCCATCGCGGATCTGCTGGAACTGCTTCCCCAGGAGGCAGGCCAGGAGAGACCCCACCCGGCCCCTTTTTACCAGGGGCTCAGCAATGCCCCCCACCCAGATGTCAATGTTGTCAGGGGTCCCGTAGAGATCCAGTAACTTCTTAGCCAGCCCCTTGTTCTTCAGCACATCGTCCAGCTCCTCCAACGTCTGGGGTTGTGAGAGGTTACAGAAGCCTCTCCAGGAGTTGTACCCTAGGGCAGAGAGGCTGAAGCTGTCTCATCCCAGGAACTTCTTGTCCACAGCCCCCCTTGGGGACATACCCACTCCAGCTCCATCAGCCCCAGAAAGTCTGGACTCATGGCCTTTGGGATGGGGGAGGTGACGATCCATTGTTTTATATCTGTGGCATTTCAGTCTCGAGAGGGCTAGTAGGTTATATGGTGCTTACTGTGGGTCCAGGCACTATTCTAAGCATTGTACAAATATGTGAACTGAAGAACAGAGATATAAGTAACTTGCCTAAGGTCACATAACCAGAAATGGTGCAGCTGGGATTTGAACCCGAGCAGTCTGGCTCTTAATTACAACATTAAATTGCCTTTCATGGGTACAAAAGAAAGGTCCAATAGTCATTGGTTTCTCTCTCTTCTCCTTCTCTTAATCTTTTCTGGGCTTCTAAACTGGTTTTACAAGTCAGTTGTTGATTTCTTTTTCATTTGAGGAGCTCCAAGATAGCACCAGATATGTTCTCTTGTCTCTGCATTAGGGAGAATGGAAGATTCTATTTCACAGATGAGCACAGTGAGTTTTAAAAACTGGCATCTCTGCTTTCTGTTTTAGAATTGATCACATCCTCAGGGTTATAGAAGAGAGTCCCCTGGAACCCCAGTCCCTAGGCCAGGCCAGACCCCAGGCCCACCCACCAGGCATCCCGTGGTCCCGGCAACGCTGTATGTTGATGGCAGCCAGGTCAAAGCCGTGGATCTTGTGAGTGGGCTGGAAAAGCTTGTTGCGCAGCTCTCCTGTCATCATTTTATTCTGATTCATCAACTTGGACTTCTTGGCCAGCAGGCCCCGCACCAGAGGGTCAATTCCACCTGCAAGGGAGACCCAGAGGCCATCCTGGGGATGGGGGTAGGGTGGGGACATCTTGCACTGCTAGCCCCTCCAGACATTTTTCTCTCAGGGGAAAGTAGGGCCAACTGCATGTCTCAGGCTGGAAGCGGGGAGAGAAGAGCACACTGCAGCCTGCAGGCTGTGCTGGGGCATTGGGGGCAGTCCAGACTGCCTACCTAGGGGGTGGAAGAAAGGGGCATTCCTGGGATGATGCATGAATATAAGCTTCAGGATTTTTTCCAAGCTCTAATTCAGACAGTTGGCTCCTTCTCCTTCCATCTGTTCCCCTGAGGAACTTTGCAGCAGGGGAAGAGGTGGCAGAAGTCTCTAGAACACTGCCGTGACTTGTCAGGCCTTCAGGAAAGCCAGTTTCAACACAGCCCAGCCTAGGATAAAGGAGAGCGGGGTCTAACTTTTGGCACTTGATGGAGGTGGAAGGCCCTAGAGGGGAGCAGAAAAGAGCAATTTATTCACCAAACCCATGAGTTCCTTCTACAGGGGTCAGAGAAGCCTGAGGCAGGGAAAGAGGTAGGGAAAATCCAGGCACCTTAGGGGCCAGAGGAGGCTTAATAATAATAAAAATAACAATGAATTATATAATTATATAATCATATATCTCACTTAATTTTTTGTATATCCTAGTGAGATAGGTACTATTATTGTCCCCATTTTACAAACGAGGAAACCGAGGCTCAATGAGGTGAATTCACTTGTCCAAGGTCACACAGGAAGTGCCTGGAGTGTGACTTCCAAGCCAGGTTTCCCCAGAGGCAGGCTGCAGAGTGAGACAGCCAGGTGCCAGCGCTTCCCTGAAAGGACATACCGTCTTTGACCATCCTCCAGGTGTTGAAGAAGAGGGTGTGCAGGGGGAGCTCTGGTTCTGGCCCCCATGGCTGATAATTCTCATCCAGGCGGAACACAGTAGAGGGGACCTCCAAGTGGCCAAAGCGGAAGGCGAAGGTGAAGACATTGGAAATTCGGGGATCCACATTATTGTTGTAGCCTTGGTATGGAGGGATCCACTTCTGCATCTCATCACCTAGCACAATGGGCAGGTAGTCCCTAAAGGTGATAATCTGGAAGGAGAAACAAGTCATGAGGAAAGTGAGAAGCGTGAAAAGCCTTAAACCTCCGCAGAGTAAGGTTGGAGAGGAGCTGCAGTCAAGAAGGATGAATGGTCAAAAATCAAGGATGGCAAATGGATAGCATATGTGCCCAATTTCTCTTCCTATGACCACGCAGACATTGCTAATTGATCATGGCATTCTTTCTGCTAATCTCTCATGATTTGTTTCAACACGGGCTCTACTGATCAGTCATTGGATTGGCACTAGATATGTACTCTCTTTGTCATCTTTGGTCTAAATTTCTGACTTTGAAGCTTAAGTGACAGTCCTTGTGTGTCACCTTAACATAACAATGTCATATTAATAAACTTCTCCCCATAGGCCAGGGCGAAAGGAATGAATAACCACAGGAATGATTCACATGGTAACCAAGGGAAGTTTGTTCAATCTCCAGTTCTTTTTTTTTTTTCTTTTTTGTGAGGGAGATCAGCCCTGAGCTAACATCCGTGCTAATTCTCCTCTTTTTGCTGAGGAAGATCGGCTCTGAGCTAACATCTATTGCCAATCCTCCTCCTTTTTTTCTTCCCCAAAGCCCCAGTAGATAGTTGTGTGTCATAGTTGCACATCCTTCTAGTTGCTGTATGTGGGACGCGGCCTCAGCACGGCCGGAGAAGCGGTGCGTCGGTGCACGCCCGGGATCCGAACCTGGGCCGCCAGTAGTGGAGCGCGCGCACTTAACCACTAAGCCACCGGGCCGGCCCACAATCTCCAGTTCTGAAAGAAATGCTGCACCATGGAGAGATCAGTTTCTGGTTTTGTTTTACTCAAAACAGTGAACTAACATAAATTGATAAATTTTTGAAAAAATAAAAAATCATGCCATCATGTAGCAAATAATTATATTAATTTTTTATTCTTTCTAATCTTTGTCTAGATGATACACATTTTTACATAGTTGTAATCCTAGAGAACGCACACCTCTGCATTCTGCTTTTTCACTTAACATTTCTCACATTTCTACCTAGTTCACAATTATTATGTAATTAAATGTGTATAATATTCTGCTGCACTCATAAGTCCTTCTCTTATTGCTTTACTCTTAGATTGTTTCCAATTTGCTCAGCAGCATAGACTCTGGGGAAGTCATCCTTGGAGAGGCAGTCTGCTCCTCAGGCTGTGGGAGGGAGCAGGAGAGAGAACCTGCCTCTGGCCACAGTGGACTGGTCCAGCTGTGGCACCAGACCAAGTTGGTCAGATTCTCTCTCTCAGGATCGTAGATTTTGGACACAGCTATTCTAGACTGCTTCTGATGGCGCTTGATCTGAGGGGACAGGTGGGGTCATATGGTTTGTCATTTTCTACCACGTGTAGAAAAGCAGAGAAAATCCGTTTGCGGAGAGAAAGTGGAGAACAATGGAGAAGTGAAGGGAGGACCAGAGAGGAGGGAGAGACAGAAGGAGAATAGCTGCTCTAATTCCAGATAGTTTCCAGTCTCTGGCTCTAACCCTTGCTGAGGCCCAACTATACTCCCTGCTCTGGGGTTCCAGGAGAAACTCTTATTAGCTTCCATTTGACACATGCGTAGGGTTGAACCAATACTGAATATCTGAACTAGCCTGAGTGGGTTTCTTTTCTTGTAGTCCAAAAAGCCTTGTTATAGATAGAACCGTGTCCCCCTCAAATTCATATGTTGAAGCTCTAACCCGCAATGTGACTGTATTTGGAGACAGGGCCTGCAAAGGGTTAAATGAGGTCATAAAGATGGGGCCCTAATCCAATAGGACTAGTGTTCTTATAAGAAGAGGAAGAGACATCAGGATGATGCACACACAGAGGAAAGACCACGTGAGAACATGGTAAAAACGTGGCCATCTGCAAGCCAAGGAAAGAGGCCTCAAGAGAAACCAAATCTGCTAACACCTTGATCTTGGACTTCCAGCCTCCAGAGAACTATGAGAAAATGAATTCCTATTGTGTAAGCTACCCAATCTGTGATATTTTGTTATGGTGGCCTGAGCAAACGAATATAAGCCTTAACTCGGATAATGTTTAGGTTGATATTTTTTATTCTTTGGATGATTTCCTACAAACATCTCCAGCAGCAAGACTTCTGGGTCCAAAAAATTTTTTTTTTTTTTTTCCTGTGAGGAGATCAGCCCTGTGCTAACATCCGCCAATCCTCCTCTTTTTTTTTTTTTTTTTTGCTGAGGAAGACGGCCCTGGGCTAACATCTGTGCCCATCTTCCTCCACTTTATATGGGACGCCGCCACAGCATGGCTTGCCAAGCAGTGCGTCGGTGCATGCCCGGGATCTGAACCAGCGAACCCCAGGCCACCGCAGCGGAGCGCGCGCACTTAACCGCTTGCGCCACCGGGCCGGGCCCCAAAGATTTTTTATAAATATTGACTTCTGGAGATTTTGAGAAGAAATAAATGGAAATAGATCTCTTTGATTGTTAAAAATATGTGCATCGGGCTTCTGCTTCCAGAACAAGATAGAGCAGACTCAGTTTTCCTTAGTCTTCCCCACTAAATATAACTAAACACCCTGGAAATTATTCAACAGACAACAATAAATAGACTCTGAAAGCTGGAAAGAAGGTGGACTGGCTGAGGACCTTAAGACTTGAGGAATGACAACATAGTGAGTTCCAGACTGGGTACATGAGAGGCTGGCAACCTGGACCCTCTAACTGGAAGAGACAAAAGAAGCCAACAAAAGCCTTCTCTCTATTTCTCCAAAGGACTGGGACAGGGGAAGTCCAGCAGAGACCTAGTAAAGAGACACCAAACTCACTTCACAACCCAAGCTCTTGGCCATCCCAGCCTTTAATCCACAACCCAGGCTGGTAGATGGTTTGATCTGCCTGCAGCAATGTCAGCCGTGAAGCCCTGTGTCTCTCTGTTCTTCACCCAATGGCATAAAGAGACCCAGGTGCAGTAGCTTCTGCTCCACTGGAAGGTTGTTCAGCAATAGGAGGCAGCCAGGAAAGTACCTTCCCGCTCTTCAGACAGCGTCAGCAGGGATTGAGTGGGAACCCCAGAAGCACCAGAAGAATGAAGTAGACCAGAATAGCTTTGCAAAGGCTCAGGAAACTAAACTGTAATTGGAACTAAAGCCCACAAAAATATGCCAGAACCTACATGCCAAACCTAAACAGGGTAACTACCTGCTTAAGTAGGTTTAAATAGAATCAAGAGTCTCCTAAAATAATAACTAAAATGTATAGGATACAATTGAAAATCACTCATAATACCAAGAACCAGGATAGTCACAATTTGAAGGAGAAAAGACAATCAACTGATGCCAATACCGACACGAATTAGATGTTGGAATTATCTGATAAAGATTTTAAAGTACTTGTAATAGATATGTTTCAATAATCAATTATAAGTTATTTTGAATCAAATGAAAAAACAGAACATCTCAGCAAAGAAGTAGAATTTATTAAAAAAAGAAATGAATTGAAATTATATAACTGAAAATACACTGACTAAAGGAAACAAAAAACTTGTTGGATAGACTCAGTAGTAGGGTGAAGATGACAGGATAGAATTGAAGACAGATCATTAGAATTTAATTAATCTGAACAACAGAGAGAAAATACACTAAATAAACACTAGACTTAAAAAACCCCCCTCAGGGGCCGGCCCCGTGGCGTAGTGGTTAAGTGCGCACGTTCTGCTGCTGGTGGCCTAGGTTCGGATCCCGGGTGCGCACCTACACACTGCTTGTCGGGCCATGCTGTGGCGGTGTCCCACATAAAGTGGAGGAAGATCGGCATGGATGTTAGCCCAGAGCCAGTCTTCCTCAGCAAAAAGAGGAGGATTGGCATGGATGTTAGCTCAGGGCTGATCTCCCTCACAAAAAAAGAAAAAAACAACAACAAAAAACCCCTCAAACACAGCCTCAGGGTTTTGTGGGACAATAACAAAAGATCTAACATTCATATTAATGTAATCCTAGAAGTAGAGGAGAAAGGGGGTGGGACTGAAAAAGTATTTGAAGAAATAATGCCTGAAAACTTCCCCAAATTGGTGAAAGACATACATTTACAGATTCAAGAAGCTGAATGAATTTCAAACCGAATAAATCCAAAGAAATCTACTCCAAGACACATCATAATTAAATTTCTGAAAACTTAACACAAGCAAAAAGTCTTAAAAAAAGCCAAAGAAAAATGACACATACCTATAAAGGAACACCAAATTGAATAACAGAGAATTTGTCATCTGAAATCATGGAGGACAGAGGGAAGTGTCACCACATTTTTCAAGTGCCGAAGGAAAAGAACTGTCAACCCTGAATCTAGTATCTGGTAAAACTATTCTTCAAGAATAAAGGGGAAATAAAGACATTTTTAGATGAAGGAAAACTAAGAGAATTTATTGCTAACAGACCTATCCTCAAAGAATGACTAAAGGAAACTCTTTAAACATAAAGAAAATGATAAAAGAAGAAGGCTAGGACTTTCAGAAAGGAGAGAAGAACAATGTAATGAATAAATCAGAACCCGGGCCGCCAGCAGCAGAACGCACACACCTAACCGCTTGCGCCACCAGGCTGGCCCACTGAGAACAACTCTTAAGAAAAATATACAAAGCAATACATGAAAATCAAAATGGACCTGCAAAAAGTGTTCAAATAGGGGCCGGCCTGGTGGCACAAGCGGTTAAGTGCATGCGCTCTGCTACGGTGGCCCGGGGATCGCCGGTTCGGATCCTGAGCGCGCACTGAGGCACTGCTTGTCAAGCCATGTGGTGGTGGTGTCCCATAAAAAGTGGAGGAAGATGGGCACGGATGTTAGCCCAGGGCCAGTCTTCCTCAGCAAAAAGAGGAGGATTGGCAGATGTTAGCTCAGGGCTGATCTTCCTCACCAAAAAAAAAAAAAAAAGTGTTCAAATAACCTTCATAAGGGCAAGAAAACAATAACAATAGAGGGAAGAGAAACAGGGAACAAACAGAAAACAAATAATAAAATGGCACATTTAAACCCTACACATCAATAATTACTTTAAATGTAAATGATCTAAATACACCAATTTAAAGACAGAGATTGGCAGAGTAGACTTAAAAAAAAAGTAACCCAACAATATGCTGTTTACAAGAAACTCACTTCAAACATAATGACACAGGTAAGTTGAAATAGATGGAATAAGATATATCATGGAGACATTAATTTTAAAATGCAAGAGTGGCTATATTAATATTAGATAAAATTAGCTTCAGAGCAAAGAAAATTACTAGGAACAAAAAAGGACATAATAAAAAAGGATTTATTCATCAAGAAGGTAAAGCAATCCTAAATGTTTATGCACCAAACAACAGAGCTTTAAAATACATGAAGCAAAAACTGATAGAGCTGAAAGAAAAAAAAGACAATTTCTTAATTATAGTTGGGGACTTCAACACCCTACTCTCAGCAATTGATAGAACTACTAGACAGAAAATCAGCAAGGATACAGAAGAACTGAATAGCACCACCAACCAACAGGATCTAAATGACATTTACAGAACACTCCACCCAATGGAGCAGAATACACATTCTTTTTAAGGACCTATGAAAAATTCAACAAGATAACCATACCAGGGTTATAAAACAAACCTTAACAAATTTAAAAGAACTGAAATCATACAAAATATATTCTCTGCCCATGATGGAATCTAACTAAAAATCAATAACAGAAAGGCAACAGGAAAATCTCCAAATACTTAGAAATTAAATAATATACTTCTAAATAACCCATAGGCCAAAGAGGAAGTCTGAAAGAAAACAAACAAACAAACAAAAAATACATACTGAATGAAAATGAAGATACAACATATCAAAATTTGTGGGATGCAACTAACTCAGAGCTAAGAGGGAAATTTATATCACTAAATACTTTTGTTAGAAAAGAGGAAAGCTCTCAAATCAATAATCTAATTCCCACCTCAACAAACTAGAAGGAAAAGCAAAATAAACCCAAAGCAAGCAGAATAGGCTAAAAAAGAAAAAGTCATATGATCATATAAATTGATGCAGACAAACCATTTGACAAAATTCAACATCTATTCATGATAAAAACTCTCAGTTTTCTAAGAGTGTTTTTCTCAGGATTCTACTAGGAATAGAGCAGAACTTCCTCAACCTCCTAAAGAGCATCTACAAAAAATTTACAACTAATATTATACTTAATGGTGAAACATTGAATGCTTTTCCTCTAATATTGGGAAGACAAGGATGTCTGCTCTCACCACTCTTATTCAACATAGTACTGGAAGTTATAGCCACTATAATAAGGCAAGAAAAAGAAATAAAAAACATGGAAATTAGAAAAGAAGAACTACAACTGTCTTTATTTGTAGAAGACATGATTGTGTATGTAGAAAATCCCAAGGAATCTACAGAACTCCTAGAACTCATTGAGTTCAGCAAGGTCATAGGATACAGCATCAACATACAAAAACCAATTACATTTTTATATACTAATAACAAACAAGTGGAAACTGAAATAAGAGATGTAATACCATTTACAATTCCTCCAAAGAAAATGAAATACTCAGGTACAAATGTAACAAACATGTACAGGATCTGTATAATAAAAATTACTAAGTGCTGATGAAAGATCCAAAGAAAACCTAAATATTTGGAGGGACATATTGTATTTATATACTGGAAAACTCAACAATGTAAAGATGTCAATTCTTCTAAATTGATCCATAGTTTTAATACAATTCCTATCACAATCTCAGCAAGTTTTCTTTGTAGACACAGATAAGCTGATTTTAAAATATATATGGAAAGGGAAATACCATACAATAGCCAAAACAATTTTGAAAAAGAAGAATAAAGTGGAGAGAGTCATTCTTCCTGATGTTAAGACTTACTATATAGCTACAGTAATTAAATAGACACTGGTGTAGGAATAGACACATAGATTAATGGAGTAGAATACAATGCAGAAATAGATTCACATAAATATGCCCAAATAATTTTTGACAAAAGAGCAAAAGCAATTCAATAGAGAAAAAAATAGCCTTTTCAATAAGTGGTGCTGGAGCAATTAGATATCCATAGGTGAAAAAAGTGAACCTTGACCTACACCTCACACTTGATACAAAAATTAACCCCAAACAGATCATAGACTTAAATGTAAAACATATACTTCTAGAAAAAAAAAGGAGAAAAACCTTTGGGACCTAGGATTAGGGAAAGAATTCTTGACACTTAACACCAAAAGCACAATCCATGAAAGGAAAAAATTGATAAATTTGATCTCATCAAAATTAAAAACTCTTGCTCTGCAAAAGACCCTATTAAGGGCCGGCCCTGTGGCTTGGTGGTTAAGTGCGCGCGCTGCGATGCTGGTGGCCCGGGTTCGGATCCCGGGTGCGCATCGAGGCACCACTTCTCCGTTCATCCTGAGGCCGAGTCCCGCATACAGCAACTAGAAGGATGTGCAGCTACGACATACAACTATCCACTGGGGCTTTGGGGGGAAAAATAAAATAAATAAAATCTTTAAAAAAAAAAAAAAAAGACCCTATTAAGAGAATGAAAAGACAAAGTACAGACTAGGAGAAAATATTTTTTTTTTTGTGAGGAAGATCAGCCCTGAGTTAACATCCATGAGCTAACATCCATGCCAATCCTCCTCATTTTGCTGAGGAAGACTGGCCCTGGGCTAACATCCGTGCCCATCTTCCTCCATTTTATATGGGACGCTGCCACAGCATGGCCTGACAAGTGGTGCATCAGTGCATGCCTGGGATCCGAACCCGGGCCACCAGCAGCGGAGTGTGCGCACTTAACCACTACGCCACAGGGCCGGCCCCCATAGGAGAAAATATTTAAAGTCACATATCTGATAAAGGACTTGTATCTGGAATATAAAGAACTCTCAAAACTCAACATTAAAAGACAAAGTATCCAGTTTGAACATGGGCAAGATATATGAACAGGTATTTTATTGAAGAGGATATACAGATGGCAAATAAGCACATGAAAAGATGTTCAATATGATTAGCTATTAAAGAAATGGAAATGAAAACCACAATCAGATGTTACCACATACCTATAAGAAAGGGTAAAAAAAAAATAGCGATGCCACCAAATAATGACTGGGATGCAGAGAAACTGGATTATCCATTCATTGCTGGCAGGAATGCAAAAATGGTCCAGCTACCCTGGAAAATAGTGTGGCAGTTCCTTTTAAAACTAAAAACGGACTTACCATACGATCCAGCTATTGCACTCTTGGGCATATATCCCAGAGAAATAAAAACTCATTTTCACGCAGAAATTTATGCACGAATGTTCATAGCAGCTTTACTCATAAGAGCCCCAAACTGGAAACTATCCAGATGTCCTTCAATAGGTGAATAGTTAAACAAACCATGGAATACCACTTAGAAACAAAAAGGAATGAACTATTGATAAATGCAACATCTCGGATGAACCTCAAAGAAATTATGCTGAATGTAAAAAGCCAATGTCAAAAGGATATATATATACTGCATGATTTCGTTTATGTAACATTCGTGAAATAACATAACTACACAGATAGAGAACAGACCAGTGGTTGCCAGGGGTTAGGGATATGGAAAGGGGAGGGTGGATGTGGCTATAAAAGGGTAGCATGAGGGAGTCTTGTGGTGATGGTAGAATTAAGTATCTTTATTGTTGTCGTGGTTACATGAAGCTACACGTGATAAAATTGCATGGATACACACACACACACACACACACACACACACACACAAAGAGGATTGCATTTTTAACTGGTGAAATCTGGATAAGCTCTATGGTTTGTATCAATCTTATCTTCCTGCTTTTGATATTGTATCATAGTTATGCAAAATGTTAGCACGGAGGGAGGCTAGGTGCATGTATATATATTTTTTTACAACTTCTCGAGACTCTACAATTATTTCAGAATCAAGTGTTTAAAAAACATGTGCACGGTTAATATCAATATATCAACCTTGCTAAGTCTCTTCTAGTTAGTCAATCAGCCAACTAACAATAGCAATTGACTATGTCTGAGACATGTGGCTTAGGTGTAGAGAATTTTAAAAGAAGATAATCCAGGCCGGCCCCGTGGCGTAGCGGTTAAGTGCGCGCGCTCCGCTGCTGGAGGCCTGGGTTTGGATCCCGGGCGCGCACCGACGCACTGCTTGTCAGGCCATGTTGTGGCGGCGTCCCATATAAAGTGGAGGAAGATGGGCACAGATGTTAGCCCAGGGCCAATCTTCCTCATCTAAAAGAGGAGGATTGGCGTGGATGTTAGCTCAGGGCTGATCTTCCTCAAAAAAAACAAAAAACGAAAAACAGATAATCGAATCAAAATAACCAAAATAACCAATATGTAACAGTCCCAAGAGTGATCTCAGTGATGCCAGCGGGGCAGGCACACCAAGTGACGGACAGATGAATGACTCTCCAACACTCTGCATGCAGGGATTCATTTTGGGGCAGAGAAGCTGAAGAAACAAAAGGGAGAGCTTAAGAGAATGAGACACTGGGAAAGTGGGAGCAGAGGAGAGGAAGGGGGAAGTGGAGGTGTGGAGAGCGGAGGAGGTAGCTGGAGATGCGGCAGCGAGCAGAGGGCAGAGCCAGCAGGGGAAGCCGGGCAAGCGTGTGTGGCAGTGCTCCCGGGCCTCTGTACCTGCACGAAGGCTCCCAGGATTTTCCGGGCTTCCTGGTAAAGCTTCTCTGCATCCCACTGAGGATTGAGTTTCTTTAGTTCTCCGGCCAGCCGGTTGTGCTCTCGGATAAAGAGGGTGTGGGAAGTAGCCAGCAGGATCTGCTCCGAGGCTCGGGAATCCCCTGAAAGCCCAGAAGGCAGGAAGGTGGGATCCCCCTGAGCAGCCCCCAAACCCAGTTACCTGCACAAAGAAATAAATGAGGGTGCCCCAAAGACACCCTCTCCTAAGCCCCTCCTTCCAGTCAACTTAAGGGAAGTCGGGTGGAAAGGGGTCGGGGTCGGGATTCATAGGTTTGACTCTCAGCTCTACACACACACTTTTTAGCTGTGTGACTTGGGACAAATTACCTAACGTTTCTAAGCCTCAGTCTCCATATCTGTGAAAATGGGGATAATAAGGCCGACCTCACAAGATTGTGATAAAGACTACAGATGACATTGAAAAGTAAAATTTTGCTAATTACAATCCCAACTGCCCTCTCCGGCTTGGCCGTACAAATAAACGAGGGGCTTTTTGTTGTGTGGAGCAACCTTGAAGGTTTTAGGAATGCAGTCGAGGCTAGGAGCCTGGGTAGGGTTGAATTCCTCTATGTAATAAAGGAGAAGAATCTAGAGATGGGGCTATGGGGAGTGAGGGAGGAACGGGCTTGGGGGGGGGTCAGTGAAATGATAAAAGACCAGGTGTTTCACAAGAGACTTCCTCTTGTGTCCTCTAATCTTCAAGAAAGTCTATTACATTTACAAATGCTTGGTCTTACTGGATACTTTTGTGGAAAACAGGAAAGGGCTCAGTTTTGTGTCTAGATTGGTGTGAGACATGTGTGGACACAGAATCCAAGCGATCTGAGCCCACGGACCAGCCTTCTGCCACATCTGGGTGGGCAGGGGGTTTGTCACGAGAGAGTGGATTTTTGCAAGTGGGAAGGCCTCCACAAGCCAAAGGCAGAGAGGACCAGGACAGCCCGAACTTCTGGAATGAACAGAATTGGGGGCTTTGGTTGTGCACCGGCTGTGTGAAGTGAGGGCTTTGTGCCAAATTTATAAAAAGCCTTAAAAATATACATTCCTCTTAATCTAGAACTTCCTCCTCTAGGAAGTTATCTTAATAAAATTATTAAAAATAAGCACAAAGATTCATCAACAAGGATGTTCATAACCTAAAAAACAACAAGAAAAAATCACAGAAAAACTAGATAGAGCTTAAATGTCTCCAGACAGGGTTGATAAAATAAATTACGGTAATTTATGTCATGGAATACGAGGCAGCCATTAAAAATTGTGTTATAGAAGAATATTTAATGATGTGACCTGTTAAATGAAGACATCAGGTTATAAAGCATCATTTAGAGTGGGACCTCAATCTTGTAAAACAATGTAGAACTATATGATAGAAGAAATACTGGAAAGATACACATTAAATGTTAACAATGATTATCTGTGGGTGGATTTTGTGGATTTTCTTAGTGCTTTTCTGGACTTCCTTGATATACATATATATATATATTTATTTTATTTTATTTTTTTTACAGTGAACACGTGTTCTTAGACTCTATATTCATCTGGGCCCTTCTGCCAGTCCTGGACCAGTGCCAGAGGCAGTGGTGGCTTGGTGTGCATTTTTTAAGAAGATGATGAGAAAAAGCAACGGTAAAGCTTCTCTGGAAGCTGCCTAGTGGTCTTGTGAGGTTTTTCTGGCCTCCTTCTGCTCTCAGTCCTCAGGATAATCCCCTTGTCCTTGGGCCCCTCTGTTGCCAGCCTCGACTCACCTGCCAGGAAGCAGGGCACGCGGGCAGTGGTGTTGATGAACTCGCAGGGGCTCGGCTTCTTGCTGACAAAGGGCAGGTAGGCCAGATCGTGGTCCCAGACCTCCTGGTTGACGGCCATGAGGCCCAGGGGGCTGCTGAGGTTGCGGAGGCGGCTGGCCAGGCTGGGCTCAGGGCCGTACACGAAGCTGGCGTCCATGAAGGAGGTCAGAGCATTGATCTGCTCTCGGACCAGGGACTGGTAAGGTGGAGTGGGGCAGACAAACCCGGCTCGGAAGAAAGGCATGCACTTCCCTTGAGTCTTCAGCTTGGGGTCATTGGGCGGGAACTGCAGAGAGATTGGGGGTGGGTGACGGGGCAGAGGTGGCACAGCTGGGCCCTGGCAACCTCTCCCCAGGGCGGAAGATACAGCTGGATGCAGCTGGAAAAGATGCTGATGGCGCCTTCCTGGGACCCTGGTACCAAACAGGCTTCAGATGCCTCCTGCTGACACTACACATCCTGGACCTGCAATACCCTGAAGTTCATTATATCCCGCTATATAAAAGGGCTGAGGGGAATCATTCAATCTTTCATAGCAAAGGCTCCAAATTTTTGGTGGGGAGGGAGTCCTGAGATCCCTGGATAGGGAAGCAGGACATGAGCTGGAAGGGTTTGTTAATAATTACTACTAACAACAACTACCACTGATGTATTTTGGACCTACCATGTGCTAGGCATTATGCATACTTTTTCTCACTTTGGTCCTCGTGAAACCCTGTAAGGTAGATAATTCAGTCCCATTTTACAGGGGAGAAAACTGAGGCTCAGAAAGGTTATGTAATTTTCCCAAGAACTTACAAACCAGAAAAGAAAGATGTGAGACTCACATCCAGATTGACCTCACTCCACAGCTCCTGTTCCTTTTTTTTTTTCTTTTTTTGTGAGGAAGATCAGCCCTGAGCTAACATCTGATGCCAATCCTCCTCTTTTTTGCCGAGGAAGATTGGCCCTGGGCTAAGAACCATGCCCATCTTCCTCTGCTTTATATGGGACACCGCCACAGCATGGCTTGACAAGCGGTGTGTTGGTGCGCACCCGGGATCCAGGCCTGCGAACCCTTGGGCTGCTGAAGCAGAGTGCACGCGCTTAACTGCTACGCCACCGGGCTGGCCCCACAGCTCCTGTTCTTTATACCACAGCACATAGCCTTGATTTGTTGTTTGAGTAAATAAATCACTCTCTAACTGTAAAATTCATAAATAAGAAGAGAAGGTGCACCATTGCAAGTTCCTCTCCCTTCCTTCTGGAAACTCCCACAAATCCTTGCTGCTCACTCTGATTCATCTATCAAGTTTCAGCTCTTTCTGAGAGTAGCCTTCTCAGACCGCAGGATGACTTACAGCAGCGTTCCACAAACTTTACTGTGTATGAAATTAATCTCCTGGGGATCCCGGGAAAATGTAGATTCTGTTTCCCAATGTCTTGGATGAAGCTTGAGGTTTTACATTTCTAATAAGTCCCCAGGTGAGGCCAATGCTGCTGGGCAAGGGATGCAGACAACCCTCCCCAAACTTCCCAATTTTGCCATTACTGGTTACTTCCCACACAGGCCCCTTGTCCTTGAGGGAAGGAACAATGTCTTACTCACCTGTGGATCCTGGCATGGAGTAGAAGATTAATGTCTATTTACTGAATAAATGGATGAGTGAATGAATGCATGTGTGAGGCTTGGGAAGCTGTCAAGTCAGCATTCAAGGTCTACCAAGAGACCCTAGCTGACGGGCTGGGAACATCTGCTACATGAGGGAGGCAAGGGGCTTGCCAGGGACAGGCAGCTGAGCGGCCTACCATGATGGGGAAACAGTTGTCTCCCTGGATACAGTACTCGTCACACTGCGTCTTGGAGTACTCACTGCTCCCCAGCTCGGTTTCGGGAGCAAAGTCCAGATCGTGGTCCACAATTTGACCCCACTGCATGAAAAGCAGGGATCTGTCGCAGTCCAGCACATCCTCAGTCAGGTATCCTATAACCTGGTTGGATACCTCACGGGCCTACAGATGGAAACAGAGGGGGAGGGAGGTTTAGAGGAAAAAGTGCTTTGAGGATTCAGATTCAACTACAGTTTATGGAGTACCTACAATGTAACAGGTACATTTAATCCCCACGACAAGCTTGTGAGGTGGGTGGCATCACCCCCATTTTGTAGACAAGGAGACCGAGTCCTAGAGAGGTAAGGTCAATTCTCCAAGGTCCTGCAGCTACAAAGGGGCAGGGATGGGACTGAATGCGGGTCTGTATGACTTGATGACTTGCAAGGCCAGTGCCCTTTCCACCAAGGAGAGGGAAAACAAAGACAGGCTGCCCCTGAAGTAAGTACTACAGGGAGGTGCCAGGTTTTCTGGGAATGGGAGAGGGGCTCTGGGGAGGGGTTGCCAACTCAGATGACACCAGCAGATAGGACCTCCAGGCAAACACCAGCTGATGCACTCCAGGGGCTGGAGCAGGGTAAGCTCTAGCAGGATGGGGCGGGGAGGCCATCTGCCTGGGAGACCCCAGGGTATCTGGCCTGTGGGCTGGGACGTGACCACCGTGGGGCTGGGCTCTGGGCTCCGAGATCTGCTGCCCTCTAGTGGCATTTTGGGGGAACATCACCAGGGAGCAAGTCCAAATCTCCATCTCTCTCCTGCGACTCCGTTGCGCGTCCCTCTGTCCTCCCACCTATTTCTTCTTCTTCCTTTCCATGTGTGTTTGGGGAGTGCATCCTCTCCCCTTCCTCTTCCATCCTTCACTCTGCTGCTCGGGGCTCGCCCCCACCCAGGCCCGCCCTCACCAGCGGGAGAGGGAAGCCGTTCCGCGTCTTCGCCGGCGTCCACCCGAAGGGCAGGGAGAGCCCGTCCTCGTACTCAGCCGGCAGCCAGCGCGCCAGCTCCCTGTTGGCGGCGCCCAGCGCGGGATTCCTCCTGAAACCGAGCAAGACCCGCCCTCAGCCTCCGCCGGTCAGCTCCGAGGTTTGCTTCTCCGCAAACCCCACGGGATCCCATGGGGAAGGACTGGGAGCCTCTGTTCGAGGGAAAGAGAGCGCGGAGGAGGTGCCTCTCATACGTGGGATTTCTGAACTACTCTCACCACCCGAAGGCGCGAGGCTCCTCTGCCCTGGGGAAAGGTGCTACTTCCAGCGGGTTACAGTGGTCTTTTTAGAAGGTGAGGAAGTTAGGGGAGGGTTCCAACAGAACAGATTCCGGTGAGACGCAAGTCCAGGAGGGTAAGGCAGTGGGAGTTCTGCCTGGAATGCCCAAGCTGGAAAGCCCCTGGCTGGGCAGGTGGGCTGGGCAGGTGGGTTGGGCGTACCGCCTCACCTGTTATTACAGTCTCCCGTAATGGTGCGGTAAGGGCTGTTCTCGTCGCATTCCACCACAGGAACAGAGGCCCCACAGCCCACCTCCGAAGAGAGTGCAGTCAAGTCCAGGCCGGGGTCTGAAACAGAAGGCAGGCCACAGGGGCTGAGTTCTTTCTCCATTCTGAGGCACTGGGGGGAGGCAGGAAACGGAAACCAGGGCGAACTTACATTTTCTGGAATACATTCTATGTTCTAAGTAAGCATTTCTCAGGCAGTTTCTCATTTAATCCTGGCAACCCATTCAAGTAAGAATTTTAATTCCTGTTTTACAGAGTAGAAACTGAGACCATAGTGCTCAAGAGACTCGCCCAAGTCCACACAGATAGTAACTGCGAAAGCCCCCAGAATTGTTAGTAATTCTTTATTTATCATTTGAATCAACAGATCTCTTAGAATGAAAATACCCCCAAGAGGTTAAGTACACATTAGTATGAGTTGGTTTAGTAAGATTGCTTTTCTTCTAAAATTTCTCTGACATCTAAAGTACCAAGAAGCAGAAATCTAGATAGGAAAGTCGTGGAGAAGGGACAGGTCATTTTTAAGTGAGGGGCACTGTGGTCTTGGGAGGAGTAACATCGTGGGGGCTTGAGGCATCAGAGGCTTCCATGTGGGCACAGAGTGGAGAGAGCTGCCCACCTCCTAATGCAGCCTCTGATCCATCCTGGTGCCTGCAATGAAAGAGAGGTGAGGGAATCTGGCTCTATGGGGGCCTCTCCAAGGGGATCATCTGTGAAAGCTGGCAGGGGCCAGGGTTCAAACCACAGCACCTTTTGGGTCTCAGAATCCAAAGTGCTCCCTACTTCTCCCTACCTTGTTCCAGTTTCCTTCTTTTGGATCTTTGGGATGTGCCCAAGTCCTAGGCCAAGTATCTTCCCCCACGTGATGTTTTCCCAGGGAGAACCTGCAGCCTCTTCCTCTGGTCAGGACCAAACCCTTTCCTCCATGACCCTCCGTGAACTGTGACATTTGGTAGGGTTGGGGGTGGAGAGGTTGGAGGAGGGCACGATCGATCCATCAGCTCATTGTTTCAGCACCGTGTTACCCAGAACAAGATGCAAATCTTATCTCCTGTGACATAATCCCAGTAAATCCCCTTGATACAGGTGGCTTAAATGTCCCATTCACAGGCAGAAGTGGTGACACTGTGGTTTGGACAGGGAGCCCAAGTTTACTGACGTTAGTACTTCCTCTGGACAGAGGCCTTACAGATGGTATTATACAAAGAGCATGAATGTCCCCTCATTTGGAGTTGGCAATGTGACCTTGCTGGGCCTAAGTTCCTTTCTCTGCAAAAGAAAGCCTAGCTGTCCTCTCAGCCCCTCCTTGCTCTGCAGGTCTACTATTCTAGAAGGGGGAGACAGGAGTGCCTCTCTGAGGAGATGGCTCCTAACGGGGAATAAAGCTTTTGGTGTCTTCTGCTCTCTCCTGCAGAGAGATGACCCCTTCCTGCCATCAGAGGGCCAGTGGGTTTTCTGTACCTGTGGTGTTCGTCAAGGCCACTTCCCGCCTCAGTCTCTTTAAGGACTCCTCCCACACCTGCCCGTTGCGGATGGCCGTGCGCGTCCGGCCTTTGGCATGCTTGAGGTACTCGGAGAGTTGTCGAGTGGTGGGTGCCTCAGAGGTCATGGCCGTCTTCAGCCTACAATGGAGAGCAATGGGGAAGTCATGACCGGGCCTCTCAGCTCCAGCCCTGTAGAAGGGATGTGGAGAGGTGTGTGTATAGGGAGAGCCAAGGGGGGTGGGTGGCACGCAGGAGACGAGCACTTCCTGTGTTCTCAGGAGCTTTCCCCGTTTCTCTTCTGATGCCTCTGAAAATCTCTTCTGGGAGGAGGAAGCTACAGCGTGTCATCAAGCTTTGTTGGGTCCGGGTCTGAGGGAAAGCAGGCAGATGGACATGAGCGCTTCCTGAATTAGAATCAGAGGGTTGCTGTGCTGGCTACGTCAGCATCAACTGGGGAACCTCAAAAATACTCAAAATCCAGGACGTACTAATTCAGACTGAGGAACCCCTGACATGTAGCCGGCCTCTCACTGAGCCTGGTGGACTGAGAATTCTAGAAATAACATGCTGATGGGCTTTCAGTTCTGCCCATGAAAACGTCCTTAATGGCACCTGGCTCTAGAGTTAGTGTGGAGGTTGTTGAGATGTGGGCTGTGGCTTCCAGCCTCTTGCTGACCATTTCTTGGGTCAGATGTTCAGCCTTTTTATTCTTAATTCCCATGTACAAAATGAGAAGCCAAAAACCCTTTTACTAAGAATTTGGTGACAACACAGAGATGACTGAGGGCAAGGTGGTGTCAGAAAAGTCCCTCCATGAGAACTGTCTACCCCTCCCCGTGCCTCAGTTTCCCCATGTGGGAGATGAGGGGTTCTATGAGATGATCTCTATGGCTTTAAGCTTCTGAAATATTGGAAGTGGCTCAAATTCGCACGAAAGACAATGCTGCTTTTGGGGTACAATTCACTGGCTGTAACACATGGCCTGTCACTATAGATCAGGGTATTAAGTCTATTTCAAGTGTGAGGGGCACGTGTCTCAACCTGGGGGGGGGTCCATGAGCGAGTGGGGCAGGCATACGATTGTAATGATTGCACTCCAATCATCAGGCCTAGCCCTTCCACCCTCTCCCCAACTCGATAAAATGCACCCCAGAAAATAAGCCAGATTGTCTTTTTGCTGCTGTTGCAAGAGACATTTGGCCCAGTGGCCCAGACTGCGGCACTGTCCACTATGGTAACCACTAGCCACATGTAGCTATTTAAATGGAAATTCATTAAAATTAAATAAAATTAAAAATTCAGTTCCTCAGTGGCACTAGCCACATTTCAAGTGTAGTTAGTGGCTCCTGTATTGGACAGCACAGACATAGAACATGTCACCTTGAAGACAGTTCTATTGGACAGCACTGACCTAGGGTTTGGGCCTAGAGGCAAGGTTTGAATCCTGGTTCCACCAGGATTGGTTTACTGATATGATCTCTGAGTGACCTGCCCCTCCTCTGCGAATGGGAATCATAGTATTCCTTACATCGGGGCCTTGTGTGTGACCTCTGAACACACTGGCTGGGTCTGACTCTTGACCATCACTTACTAGTTGTGTGCCTTTGGACAAGTTACTCAACCTCTCTGTACCCAGTTTCCTTATCCATAAAATGAGGAGCATGATAGTAACCTTAGGTTGAACCATGCTATTTGATCATTTTGACCTTGAAAACAGCTATTTCATATAGTTCACTCAAGCACTTCATAGGATTTGGGGAAGGAAGGAATATAAAGTACCTAGAGCTGTGTGAAGCACAGAATAAACACGTGTTAGCATCAGCGCCATCGTCATCATCAGCCGGGTCCCAAAGGGGCCCCTACCACATGAACAAAGAAGGTGGGATGCTGGGCCTCCCAGGGCTCCACCTGAAAGGCCCCCTGCCAGGGTCCGGGTGCTCCTCCCTTCCTCCCCTGCCCTCCTCTGCACGGCTCTCCTGCCTGAACGCTGACTCACCAGGCACTCGCCTCCTGCTTTGCCTTGGGGCTGGGCTCCAGGGGAGCAGGCAGGGCTTTGGAGGGACTCTTTTTCCATCTCCAGGCCTCCACCCTCGTCCTCTCCCGTCTGGACGGCCGCAGCAGCCTCCTATCTGGGCTCCTGCCTCCACTCCTGTCCCTCTCCCATCCATTTTCTACAGGGCTGCTGGAGGGAGCTTGTTAGAATGAAAAGCAGACCATGTCACTCTCTGATTAAATCACTTTGTTGGCTTACCCTGGGACATGGATGAATCCATCTGCTTCCTGCATACATGCTCCTAATGTTGTGCAATCCTCACCTCTACCTAGTTCCAAAACATTTTCATCACCCCCAAAGGAGACCCCATGCTCATTAAGCAGTCATTCCCCATTCCTCCCTCCCACCCCACCCCTCAGCCCCTGGCACCCACTAATCTGCTTTCTGACTCTATGGCCCTTGGGGTCCACCTTTCTGTCCTCACCTGTGCTCTCTTGCTTGCCTACCACCTCCACCAGCACTGGCCTTCTTCCTGTCTCCTAAGCACCCTAAGCTCTTTCCTGCCCCAGGACTTTTGCCTGTACTGTTCCCAGTCCCTGGAATGCCATCCCCCTGGCTCTCTGCATGGCTGGCTCCTTCTCATCCTCCATGAGGCTTCCCTGATCCCTGTACCTAAAGTAGCAACCATTGCTCTGTTTATTCCCTTCATTGTCCTTATCACAAATCACAAGTCGCTGGATTGTCCGTTTCTGCCCTTGTGTAGCAAGATGTTTAAATGTGATTCTTTACATCTCCACGAGCCCCTTAAGTCCAAGAACGACCTAGTGGGGATGAGTTCCAAAGCAGGGCTAGTCGTCCTGTGTACAACTTGCAAAGGAGGTGATGAACACCGATTTTGTGGCTTTTGTTCTATCCCCACCTTGGGGCTATAAAAGGATTAAAGTTAAGGAGAGAGAAAGAATTTTCATTTGGAAATAGTTGCTGAAATACCAGGCATTTCCCTCCCACCACCATGGGGCTTCCTGTTAGCTTTAACTCTAGTGACAACGGCCTTAAGAGGAGGGCTCGACTGTGTGTCCTGGAGTCGTGGCCCGTGGTTGACATCTGCCCAGAGCCAAAGAAAGGAAGTGGTGGCTGGCGCTGTGCACCTGACACCAGCGTAAGCCAGACAGGGCAGCACTGGGCCCTGAATACGCACATTCTCCAGCAGCAGGGCAAAGCTTTCAGTCTCCGGAGACTGCCTAAAAGGAACCTGGCTCAAGAGGGTGTGGAGGGAGAGGGAGTGAGCCGGATGCTTCCTTCCGGGCTGAGGGCTGGAGCCATATAAGCTACAGGCCAGAAACTTCCCTGGGTCAGGGAGTTGGCAACAGAATCTCTCAGAGAGCTGGAAGGTGCCCAAGGAGGGAGCTTCTGACCCCCCATGAGGTACTAAGTTGTCCAGGTGACTTGCCATCCTGTATCTCTCCTCCCTCCCCAGCTGAACCCCTAAGGAGTCAGAAACTTGGGCTGGGGGAGAAGGAGGAGCCCAGGAGAGAGGGACAAGCAGACTGTGCTCCCCTCTCTCACTATAAGCCTAAAGCAGCTCTTAGCTGAGGGAAGTGAGCAGCTCTGGTCTTTGTCTTCTCATGCTGACATTTAAATTCCTGAAAGGACACTGCTGTTGGGACTAGGAGTGACCAGAGTACATCTTGTCATCTAAAGTCAGCAAAAAAGTGATGGGTCTGCTTGAGAGGTCGTTCAAGGGCCAAGGAGGAATGAAGCCCCTAGTCTGGTGGAAAGGGACAGTGAAAGGAAATAATAAGGTTGTCTTCTGCTCAATACAATGGTTGCTCTTGGTTGTCTGCCTCTCTAGCTCATGTATGGGCTTTCTAAGGGCAAGGACCCAGTCTGCATGGCTTATTTCAGGAATCCCAGCTCCTGCACGTGGTTGGAGTGTGGCTGACTCTGCTGGTGCCCTGCGGGATCGCTATCCTCAAGTTCCCTAGGTCCTTTTATAGGGCTGGTGTGCTCCCCTAGCTGCTGAGGGAGCAGCTGCTGAATGCTCACACCCGTAACCTTCTTGGGCGATTACTTCTGAGCCAATGGGGCTGCATGGCTGGAGGTGCCTGGCAGTTACACGGTGTGTCATTCCCCCCACCCCCAACCCTGAGCCTGCTGCACATCTGACTGATGTCAAGGAAGCATTGGGCAGATGAAACCTCCACTTCCTTGCTCCAAGGTGGGACAGGCTCTGAGGTGCAACCTATGCTCCAGATCTCCCTGTGGAGTCAGCTGAGGCTAGACCTAAACCACATCCTTGCTTAACTTCCTCCTTTCACCCCTCCAGCTTCACTCCCTCACTCAACGACAGCTCTCCTGAGAGTGCTCCCTAATAAGTCAGCTGCCCCTAATAAGACCTGGAACCAGGTCTCAGGTTCTGCTTCCAGGGAACCTGACCTAAGTCAGTTAGTATTAGTTGAATGAATGGACAGCTTCTACCTACAGCCTTTCTGAAACTCTGGAAAGCATGACCCAAGGAAACACTCAGCCACGTGGAAGAAAGTGTTTATTGGATTAGATTAGACATCTTCTTCAAGGTAATTTATAGGCTGAGGGTTTTAGGAGTTGTGGGCTGGTACTCCTACTTGCCACATATGCGGAGGTGGAAGGGCAGGTTATATAATTGCTTTGGCTCGTTGGTTTGTCAGGTCTGGCCTAGATGTGCTTGTTGTTAACAGGAAGCCTCGGAAGGGAAGTATGTTGTGTGTATGCATCTCACCTACCTGGTCCGGGATTCCAGGAAGGCCTTGTTGACTTGGACCTTGACCTGATTCACAGCATCAGAGATGGCAGTAGTCCTGGGAGATTGCTCTTGGAGGGGAAGAAGCAAGGAGCAGGATATCAGACGTCACTCTTTCAAGATGCCCTTTGCTTCTGTCTCCCTTTTTCTTAGCCATTACCCCCATCTCTCAAATCTGAGCAGGTAGAAGGTCAATATTAGCAAACATTCACAAGAATCTTCAAGGAGAAAAACCACAGAATGGGAAGAATTCTCTCCGATCCTCAGTAAGATGTCAAAATTGCTCTTCAGGAGTCCACTAGAATACCCAGCGATGGGATTAAGAAGGTATGCAACCGCTCAGGTTGGCTCAGGCTACTGGGCTAAAGGAATTTTTCTGGTTCTTGGTGAGGTGGACCCTTAAGTAAGATCAAAGGGCTTAGCTGATCACCAGGACCCTGAAGTAGAGAAGGGGGTGGTGTAGGGTAGAGGTGGGATTCCTTGTATTCATTCATATTAGGGTCTGGAGCACAGGGGGCAGGATGCATTCTGTGAACAAGTGGAGTGTAGTGTTAAATAGTATCCCCCAAAATACATGTCCAACCAGAACCTCAGAATGTGATCTTATTTGGAAATAGGGTCTTTGCAGATATAATTAATTAAGATGAGGTCATACAGGTACAGGGTTAGGGTGGGCTCTAAATCCAATGACTGGTGGTCTTTCAACAAGAGGAGATGACACACACAGAGAAGAAGTGTGTGTCATGCCTCCATGTGAAGATGGAGGCAGAGATTGGAGGAATGCAGCTATAAGCCAAGGAGTACGAAGGATTGCCGGGGGCCACTGGAAGCTGGGAAAACACAGGAGGGATTCTCCTCTAGACCCTTCAGAGGAGCATGACCCTGCTGACACCTTGAGTTTGGACTTCTAGCCTCCTGAACGGTGGGAGAATAAATTTCTGTTGTCTTAAGCCACCCAGTTTGTGGTCCTTTGTTACAGCAGCCCCAAGGAAACCAATACAGGGAGACACTCACCTCTTGAGGCGGACGCTGCAACCTGGAGCAAGGTCAGCGAAGCTACAAGGGCTGGGAGATGGACAAGGACCCGCATTGCTGAAATGAGACCCAGGGTCACGGGGTGAGCCGTATAGAGCTCCCATGCGAGGAGATGAATCACAGAAAGGGGAAGGTAAGTCAGAGAAAGCCCGGGGAACACCAGACACGCTAATGTTGGGACAGAAAAGGGGAAACCATGATAACTAACTAAGCATCTGCCATCTGTGCACGCCTGTGCTGGGTACTGGGAGACATGGAAAGAAGCAGTGGTGGAAGGGAAGGAACTCAGGCTTTGGGGTGAAGAGGTCCTGACTTGTGGTTCTGCATTTTTTCTAACTAGCTCTGTGACATTGGGCAGGTTACGTAACATCTCTGGGCCCCTGGCCGGCGGAGTGAGGGGGTCAGACCAAGTTATCCAGGATGTCCAATTCTACCCTGACAGCCCGTGACTGGAGGTCCTGTACCTGAGAAATCTTATCACAGGTTCAAGAAATGCTGTTACCAAACCTGGAACACGTCTTTGGAGTTCCCCTCCCTCTTTTCCCTTGGGATGTATTGCTCCTTGCAAGCCGTCGTCCTCTGGTCCAGCCCCAGGGGAGTGTGCTTGAGAAAGAGACACTCAGCTCCTCCCTTCAGAAACTGGCAGGGGCTTCACCCTCCCTCTAAGAGCCGATTTGACGGAACACAGGAATGAAAGTTGTGACAAAGCTCAGAGCTCCCTTGAGCCCACAGCTGTGTGCCAAGCTGCCTGGAGAGATTCCAGCTCTTAGATTAAGCCCTTCAAGGTGAGCTTTAACTCTGAACCTAAATCATCAGACTAAAATTCATGCAGCCTTGTTTGCTGATGAGGGGTTTGGGGGCTTAGAGTGGTCATTAGGTTTGGTGGAATGGACCCAAAATATCTTTTGAGAAGATTCTAGCTCCAGCACAGGGAGGCGCCTGGCGTACAGATGGAATGATTGTGTATTTCCGCTACGCTCGTGACAGGCCCTTCAGCTTGAACAGAGGGCACAAGTTGTCCCCTCAGTGTACATTCGCTGGTTGGACTCTGGAAATACACCAGGGAGAACATCCTCAGATTGGCTGCCCCTCCATATCTACTCGAAGCTCCCTAAGAGAAGTTGTGCTTCTGGAGCTTTGCCTGAGAGACCACCCAGGTGGTCTTCCAGACACTCTGCAGACAGTCTCCCCTTGGGTTAGGCCAGGCCAGAACAGGAGAGCTGGGTGTCTGGACTCGGTAATTTCAGCCTCCTTCACACTCCTCCAATCTTTCCCTCTGCCCTTTTATGATCCTCCTAATAATGTTTATCTTGTTGACTGTACTTTTTGTAAGCTAACTCTAGAAAAAAAGGCAAGGTACAAATAATTACCTCTCTGGCCAAGATTCTCCCTGGCACCTTTTTTTTTTTTTCCAAGAGGAGTTCTCAAGTGGCTCGACCCCTCAGTGGGCTCCTGTCCGTATACCTCTACAGCCCGAGTAGAACCATGGTCCTCCTCTTTGTGACTCGAGGAGACCATTGAGCCAGTAGAAATCTGCCCTTTCAGGCAAATAAAGATGATGGTTTTGAGTAAAAGGTATCGTTGGTATATATTTTTTAATCGTGGTAAAAACACAGCATAAAATTTACTCTTAGCCATACAGCGCAGTAGTGACAAGTATATTCACATTGTTGTACAGTAGCTCTCTAGAACTATTTCATCTTGCAAAACTGAAACTCTATACCCACTAAACACCAACTCCTCATTTCCCCCTACCCCCAGCCCCTGGCAACCACCATATCACTGATTTTTTAAGAGGGCTGGTGGGCACACAAGTACTCACTATATGATTCTTTCAATGACTAATGTATTTCATAATAAAATAACAACAAAAAGTAAAAGGTTGGTCTATAAAAAAAGGGCATCATCTAAAATAGACTGAAGAAGAAAAATATTGTAGCTGAAGACATGAAACGAGAAATCTGAACAGGAAAAAAACCTTGGCTACTCATTTCTCCTTTTTTTTTTCCTTGGAGCCCCCTTTATACTCCCCTCACTGGGAAGTGGTGGTGGTGGGGGGGAACCTCAAGGCCAAAGCTAAATGGTTTTCCATGTCTTGGCCAACTCTCTTGGTGGGTGTGAAGGAAGGATGTGGGACAGAAAGAAGAGCCAGGCAAATATGAGGTCATGCCACTGGAAAAGAGACACGCAAAAAGATCCTGGAGAGACACTGTCTATAGCCAGAGCCAAGCAGGGTAGAGGGCAGAGGACATGGGGCTTCAGAGTATAAGAGGCCAACAGGAGCTTTCTGTGATGTTTGGATATTTACCCACATTCTTATCATCGTGCTCAGTGCAGAAACTATTTCCCAAGCCCTTCGGCTTATAGCAAAGCCTAGAGCTTTCTCTGGGACATGAAGCACTATCTGGAGACAGAGGCACAGCCTTTACCCCTCAAATGCCAGGCTGGTCCACAGTCCCCTGCCTCTACTCACACTCTTTCTTATGCAATGCCCTCTCTGCCTGATAAACTCCTATTCATTCTTCAAAACCCATGCCAAATGCCACCTTCTCTGTGAGGTATACCAGATTTCTTCAGGCAAAATTAGATCTTTCCTTTTTCTGTCTTCCCACAATACTTTACTCATATCTCATATCACTGTTTTCGTGTCTGTTTTCCCTATCAGACCATGAGCTCCTCAAGGGCTATGTCTTATTTATTTTTGTTTTTCCAGGACCCAAGCCTAGTGTTGGTACATAATAGGTGTTGGGTATATATTGAATGAATGAAACTCCTGGGCAGAGAAGTTCAGCTGGAGGGTGCAGATGTAGAGACTGGTGATGGTCCCTTAGCAGGCTTCTCACACCTTAATGTGCCTACTAATCACCTGGGGACCTTTTTAAATACAGATTCTAACTCAGAAGGTATAGAAGGAGCCCAAGAGTCTGCACTTCCAACAAGCTCCCAGCTGATGCTGATGGTGCTGATCTGCAGACCACACTCTGAGTCCCAAGGCCTTTCAGTCTGGCTCTCAGACGTGCTGAGAAGTCACCAAGGGGGCTACAGGAAGGCCTGAGAAAGGAAAGAATCAGTGGGATTCTTTTCCATGAATGATGAGAGCTCTGTTGAGGGTGATGGGATGAGCCAGTAGGAAAACCACCAAACACTCCATCACCCCCAAGAAGGCTCTGTCTGATCTTTTGAGCAGCTCCAGGATCAAGAGGAGAATGGAGAGGAGATAGCTCTTCTCCAGCTCTCTAGAGCAGAAACAATCCTCCACCTCAGTCAGCCACAGGGTTCGGGACACCCAATCACATTAAAAAAATTATGATTCAACTACTCCATCCTCCCAAAATGAAGCCCATCTAATATTGCTGCAATTCATACACCTGATTGAGAGCCAGGTGTCCACAGGGTATTGAAGACACCTGGGACTAGACATTCAGGGCTAATTGGACATTCAGATCCACTGTAGATAACAGGCATGAGATGCTGGAAGCGAGATGAAGATCTGAGAGCCTTGGCTTAGGGAACCCTTTAAAACACTGCAAAAACTTCAATTACATTATATTGAAATTTGGTCATATAATATCACACCAGTCTCAAGAGCACCATGCAGAGCATCATTCTATTACTAATTTCCCCTAACTTTCTGTGTGACCTGGATACGTGATATCTGTTAGGTCTCAGTTTTTGTTTTTGTTTTTTTAAATTTATTTTTTCCCCCAAAGCCCCAGTAGATAGTTGTATGTCATAGATGCACATCCTTCTAGTTGCTGCATGTGGGACTCGGCCTCAGCATGGCTGGAGAAGCGGTGCGTCAGTGCGCGCCCGGGATCCGAACCAGGGCCGCCAGTAGCGGAGCGCGTGCACTCAACCGCTAAGCCACGGGGCCGGCCCTATAAGCCTAAGTTCTAACCACACCTTTGAGTTACTCATCTCTGGGTACTCCCATGTGTTACACGTGTGATGCCTACGTTAATAAACTTGTGTTTGTTTTTCTCTTGTTAATCTGTTTTTGGCCAGCTTCATTTACAGTGCCTCAGCCAGAGAAAATAAGACGAGTAAAGAAAAAGATTTTTCCTCCCCTAAGCTTTAAGATAAGCCAATACTTAAAACATCTTTAAACACCTGTGAAAACTCACATCTGAATTCTGTGTATCTAACTACTATAGTTACTTGAGAAAAAAAAA